CTCAAAATAATGGCAAAGCAGTCATAATCCTCATTCTACGGATGAGAAAACTAAAAACATGAACATAGCTTGTGGGGATCTACACGGGAAATATGTAGTAGAATGTAGATCAAACCCAGGTCAGGGGCACCTGGGTGGTTCAGTGGTTGAGCATCTGCCTTGGGCTCAGGTTGTGATCCTGGGGTCCTAGGATCGAGTCCCACATCAGGCTCCCTGCAAGGAGCCTGCTTCTCCCTCTACCTATGTCTCTGCTTGCTGTGTCTCTCATGAATAAACAAAATACATCTTAAAAAAAAACCAAACCTAGGTCTGATGATTCTCAAATCTACACTGCTGTTCCTTGCAACTCTGACATGACTATTTCAAATGGTCAGGGGTCAGTGGCTTACCAGAGCTTATAGAACTCGGGCCAGTCCCAAAGGAAGGACAGAATTTGAAGCTTTGGGGTAAGGGAGTGGGAAAGGGGGGAGAATGATCAAGGGATTCCAGGCAGGGAGAAGAACATAAGCAAAGATCAGTTTCCATTGATCATGTCCTATTTGACAGGAGATCAAATGACTAAAGTGGAGGATTGAGTTCTTAAACAGGTATCTGTTGGCTTATCTCAATATCCTATGATAATCATTGTGGGACATACCAAGGTTAATTTTATGAAAGTACCTGGAATGTAAGTTGCTGCTCAGTTTTTGATGTTTTTGTTCTTTAAGAAAGTGGTCCAGACTTAAAAACAAAGGTATACATTATTTGGATTACTCAAAAAGCTGACAATCTAGTTTGGGAGAAAATGAAATGATTTAAGAGTTCCAAGACAGAAAGTGTCACAAAACAATACAAAATTAATGATAACAAAATCACCCACAAAGCCTACGCTCTTAACTTCTAAGCTTTTTTGCCCTGCTGTGTATGGGATGCATGGCAAGAAGTAAGCAGAGATCTTCAGTAGGTGCCCCAACAAGGAGGCTGATGTAGTGACCATGAGGCCAACAGCACACATTAGGTTGAGGAGGACGGGGGTGAAAAGGAGAGGATGGAGAAAAGAAGTATTTCAACAACAAGGCTGGTTAAGAACAGATCTGTTGTATTACGGTTGCTAAGATCAAATGAGATTTTATATGTAAAGTGCTTAACATAGAGACTGACACATAATAAGTAGCTGCTTTATTTAATAGTACTTAAAAACCCAAATCCAACCACATGTAAAAGATTTCTGCCCCTTCAAATAAGGTGGGAGGTACCTCTTCCCATGTAATTGAGGCAGGGTCGGTGGAGGAAGAAAGAATGCAACATTTTCCCATAAAAATGCACTCATTTAAAGCTCAAGAGGGTGGCTTTCATGCTGTGTCACTTTTCACTACAATTTTAAAAACTCACCCATAGAAACGAGTTTTATAAGGGTGAGGAAGGGCACTGTAACACTCTGAGCATCTATTTGCTATGTGTCCCATGGTTTACATTTTTCCTTATTGATATAACCCCTGAACAACATAGTGATGAGGGATGCTGACCCCCCATCCATTATAATTTTTGACTCCCCAAAAACTTAACTACTAATAGCTTTATTATTTTTTTAAATTTTTTAAAATTTATTTATGATAGTCATACAGTGAGAGAGTGAGAGAGAGAGAGAGAGAGAGAGAGAGAGAGAGAGAGGCAGAGACACAGGCAGAGGGAGAAGCAGGCTCCATGCACCAGGAGCCCCATGTGGGATCCGATCCCGGGTCTCCAGGATCGCGCCCTGGGCCAAAGGCAGGCGCCAAACCGCTGCGCCACCCAGGGATCCCTAATAGCTTTACTATTGACAGGAAGCCTTACTGATAACACAGACAGTCGATCGACACATATTTTATATGTTCTATGTGTTACATACTATATTCTTACAATAAAGTAGGTTAGAGAAAAAAATTAAGAGAAAATACATTTACAGTACTAGACTATATTTATAAAAAATCTGCAGAGAAGTGGACCTGCACAATTCAAACCCACATTGTTCAAGGGTCAACTGTACTTAATGCTGATATAACAATAATCAGGACAGCACCTATATGTAGTGCTGTCAGATTTAGTATGTAGAATACCATAGAGGCCTCAAATGCCGCCCTACTGCCATAGCCTTCGATCATTTAGTTTGCTTTACAAGTACATGTTAACACCAAAAGATTTATAATACAATACACTTGAGCAAAGATGTATCATTTCAAGCTGAGCCCTGGTTCAAGTTAGAAACCTCTGACTTTTCAAACCTGAGCATCACATTTATGCATATCTTTCTCTTTTCTGTGTTAGATTACCTTTAGAACAGTAATAGGAAGGGAGTGATCATATACCACCTGAATCCTGGTCTATACCAACTTAATGCAAAGAAATACCTTCTGCATAAGAAATTAAAATTAAGTCTCATATGAAGACACTGCTAGATTTCTACTGAGGAAACAGAAAGAAAAACCACTTAAAGTAAATGAAGGGGAGAGTGTGAATTTAGGGTTTTACTTTGCTTTCAAATTTTACATTTATGATTAAGCCTTTGTTCCAGGAAACAATTAATCATTATCACCACCATACTCCCCCCTGAATTTGGAGCAACACCGAACACTTCCCTGGACAATCTTGCAGATGGTTTGTTGATCATGGCCAAGCTCATCCATGAACACTAGAAGTGGGAAGATATCAAGACATAAAGAGGGAGGGTAACAAATCTGAGAAGAGACTAAGTGACTAACTTTCCCCATAAATCCAAAGCAAGCAGCTGACAGCTTTTTTATTTTAACTCAGCCCCGGCATCAACAAATCACCACATTGGCTTTATGCAACATGTTTCCTAATTGAATAAAACAAACTTGAATACAAAAACATGTCAGAAGAAAATTTCAGTCAGAAATTGTTGTGCTCTTATCTGTTTCTGGTGAATACCACTGATGCTCTTAAAGCTCCCAAGGAGTCTGAGTGGGCAGAGACCATGGTTATTCTTTCAACACAAAACAGTGGGGGAAAAGTAAATACTGTAGAATGTATTTTATTCCAAAGCAAATCAAGAAGAGAACAAATGAAGCACTGGATTGTGACATTCGATTATAAAAATTTATTAAATATTGATATGATTGGACCCTAAACTGCTCTCTAGGAATACAAAGATTTCTAAGCCGTGATCCTAGCGCTCAAGGAACTAATGGTCGAGGACACAGCTTCTCAAACTTTACTGTGTGTATGAATCCGCCCAAACACCTTGTTAAAATGTAGAAGCTTATTCAACAGATCTGGAGTGGGGCTTGAGATTCTAATGAGCTCTAGGTAATGCTGATATGGCTGGTCCACAGATCACACTTTTAATAGCAAGGAAAGCATGGATAAAGAAATAGTATAAGGTGTTATAAGCCCTTGGACATCTATACAGAGTACCATGTGAGCAGCCAAGGAGAAAATGCACCTGAGAGTTAGAAACCGCTTCATACAGCAGAAGATGGGTGAGCTGAGTATTGTTCTCCCAGTGATCCTAGGGGAAAGTCAAGGGGCTTATGCTGTAGTTCAGTGAGGAAACACTCTGACCCTCGATTTTCTCATCTGCAAGATGGGGGACTGAAAAAAATGTCCAGCCCCTTCAAAGTACTAAAACCACATGATTCTACTGAGATAAACTTTATTTTTTAAAAGATTTTATTTATTTATTCATGAGAGATACAGAGAGAGACAGAGGGAGAATCAGGCTCCTCGTGGGGAGCCCAATGTGGGACTCGATCCCAGGACCCTGGGATCACGCCCTGAGTGAAAGGCAGATGCTCAACTGCTGAGCCCCCACGTGTCCTGAGATAAACTTTAAAATCGCCTAATATATGATGTTTGGAAGCTCAGGTGAAATAGGACAAAGGGTCTGAGTGACTACTTATTTATTTTACTAGGCAACTTTATTAACCTTTTAAACTTTATTTCCAAGCTTCTTCAGCTCAATCAGCTGCAAAAAGAATGAATTGAGTATAAGCAAAAACTGAAAAGAGTGGCGGTGTGTTCAAGGGGCTTGGGCTTAAAAATATTAGAGATCTCGATTTTATCAGATCCATGAACGAAACTTTAAAAAGCCAAGCCAATTTATACTATAAATAATATAAAATAGCATGGTCATATAATCATAATATAAAATAGCAGCTCCCAGTAACTTCTTTCCTATCTTCAGAAGTTGACTCAATTTGGTTTGCTTGGTTCTTGGAAGCCTCCTTGACATTCTCCACAAGATCTGGAAATTGATTATCATCATTCTCTCCAGGAGCAAGTGGTGCTTTTCTGTGCACAGAGTACTTGGGTAGAGCTTCAGCCAGTCTTCTTAAACCAGTCAGACTATTGTCATCACGCTGGTTTAAGATGCTGGGCAGCATTTCTGTCAGCTGCTTTGTCTCAGCATGGCCCATAATGGTGAAAGTGTTTGCTGCTGGCGATGGCTGAATTTTAGGGCTTGTATACATACTCACTTCTTCAGTACAATAGTGTTTACTCCTATAAGGAGAGCTGAAGTTGTTTATTTTAACCATCTACTTCAGCTGTTCTAATGAACCATCTTCTTTTGGAGAGCAATTGATTCTCCACCAATGCACACTTGTGCCTACAGTTGGGTGAGATGCTCCTGGTTCATGCTAATTTCTTTGATTTTGTGGGTGTGGAACTGGGGACTAAGGATGGCACTCAGGGGGTCTCTGGCAGAGGCCAGTTGGGATTATGTGCATACATGCAGGGACACTTATAAAAGATTTTATTAATGAGCCTAACAAACTAACCTACATTTGACAAATGGAAGTCTATCAATCATCAGAAAACAGCACTAAAGTCTTAATAGCCTCGTATACTTGTTTTCTCCATTCAGTTGCCTGTTTGTAGATGGGTGTATGGCTACCCAGCTGAACTCCTCAAAAAGAACACCATACTCACTTTAAGAATACTTAGCATCCATAAAGTATATTTTATTTTCAAGGTATACTTTATAAACATCATTTAGGTAGTTGTCATATATGCCAGTTACTTTTCATTAGTACAACTGCGAGTAGACCAGATTAAACTGAAATGGGGGAAGGCAGGCCCCACTGGGAGGATCAGAGCCCAGGTGACAATGCCAGGGCTCTTGCTGACCTGTGCTCCTGTTCTCTCATTATCTATTTATAGATGAGAACCCACCCTCACCAGGAAAGCCCCTAAACATTAAAAAAGGAAGAGACTGCTTTTTGGAACATCTTGCAGGAGTTTGCCATTAAAAGCCAAAATGTCAAAAGAGAAAGATGTAGTTTAAAGGCTTCCTGCTTTCCCTCTGATGTAGGACTGATTGCTGATTCCCTCCAACACTATCTACCAAAAAAGAAAACCAAGTCAACAGTGTATTACTCCATTTTCACACATGTGCGCGCGCGCGCGCACACACACACACACACACACACAAAAGGGGGGTGGTTTCATTACTAAAATTCAAATTTTTAGTGTTAGACTTTTAAAGGATAAAATACTTTCTAGAATGAACTTTGAAGGAGTAATTATGCCCTAATTACAATATCATTTCTCTATATAGAGAACAAAATTAAATGTCCTTTTTAAAGGACATTTTTCTCATTTAAGAAAAATAAATTTTAAACTCAGCACAGCAAGAATTACCCAATAAATAAGAAGTAATTTTTCTATTGTCTTGTACATTTCTATTTCCACCCATGCTCTAAATATACAAAAAGCTTCATACATAGAAAAAAATAATAAAGAATGTCATTTAAAAACTAACCAATTTGTAGTTTCAGTATTTCAGATTTTATTTAAAAAACTAACCAATCTACATTTTTAGTACTTCTGATTTATGGGCTAGGAGAGGGAGAGGTTGGGTACAGATGGCTGGTAAATTTGGTAGTAATTTAAAAATAAGGTCCATTTGTATAAACCTGAAAGAAATTATATCATGGTTCATTATTTTCTTAAACATGGAAGAGAGAAATGCATAATCTTAGTAAGTATTCAACCATAATAAAATGTATCTTTTAACAAAGGAAGCATTATTCCTTAGATTAAAACAAGTTTTCTATTTCCTTTGCGTTTCTCTAGAGTGCTTTGTGTACACATGTGAGCGTGCACACACATGGCACACAGTTCTAACATAAGACAGAGATTAGACCATTCTATTATACTTCTATCATTAAGAAATTTGTGCCATGATGAGCACTGGGTGTTATATGCAACTGATAAATTATTGAACACTACATCTGAAACTATAGTATGTACTATATGTTGGCCAATTGAATTTAAATTAAGAAAAATTTGTGCCATGATCAAATCTTGGCACATGTATGAGAAGATGTATGTTATACAGTGGACCTCAAAAATTAGTGTTAAGCCATTTTCATTTAATTTTTTTAAAGTAAACTCTATCCCCCAATGTGGGGCCTAAACTCACGACCCAGATCAGTAGTCGCATGCTCAACCAACTGAGCCAGCCAGGCACCCCAGCCATTTTCATTTTAACAACATTTATTACAAATCACGTTTTATAAACACTAGATATAAATTACATACAAAAGCTAGACAGAAATATACAGAAGCAAAAAGCAGTACTAATAACACAGGAGAAATAAGCTAATATAATGTTTAAACATGTATAACAATAAAATTACTAATATTTCATTGCTAATAAATGTTCATGAATTCAAAAGCTATTAAAAAATGAAATGCAGTATAATTACTATCAAAGTTTGGAACTACAGAAACAACCATAGTACTACTTATTTTTAAAAATCTTTTTAAACATTCAGAAGCCAAATGACTGTCCCTAAAGACAAATTAAGCTTGGGTAAAAGCTCTTAGCCAACTGAAGAATGTAAAATTTTAGGCTTTGGTTAATAGATACTAAATTTAGTGAGTATTTAAAAATTAACATCTCCCTTATATGCTATATTCCTGAGTTTTTTGCTTAAGTACCATAGATAAAATAAAGAACTCAGTTTACAGCTTTGTGTAACATTGTATTATATTTTGAAAAACAAAAAATATGAATAATGGGGTTTAATAATGTAATCACAATCAGAAGAAATATGTTTAATTTAGCTTAACCATGGAAAAAATTAATGCCCTCTGACCACTAATTGCAAAGCTTATTTGTAAATTATGATCAAAATTATGTTAAACCTGTCACCAATTTTATTTTATTTTATTTTATTTTTAAATTTTTATTTATTTATGATAGTCACAGAGAGAGAAAGAGAGAGAGACAGAGGCAGGCTCCATGCACCGGGAGCCCGACGTGGGATTCGATCCCGGGTCTCCAGGATCGCGCCCTGGGCCAAAGGCAGGCGCCAAACCGCTGCGCCACCCAGGGATCCCCCTGTCACCAATTTTAATTTGCATCTCATGAAATCATTTTGATTTAGAGGAGGTTGATTATGTAGTATAGAATGCTCTTAGAAAAGACTGAAATGATACAATGCTAATGGTTTGCACAAGGCCAGACACAGGGTAGGTAGTCAATTTTACTCATTAATTTAAAATGAAAAGTATTTGAATGTATTATTTCTGAACATCAACACACAGTTCAATGTAGTAGTTATAAATTAATTTGAAAATATCCAAAAGCAGTTTACACACGAAAATATCCTTTTAGTAACAACCATAAGAGGGATTTTTATAAGTGGCTATTTTCAGTCTTGGTTTTACCAAAATAGATTTAAATTTAAGGTTTCTTTTATTTTTTTTATTTTTTTTAAGGTTTCTTTTAAAAATAGACCTCTGAAAGCTAATTTCCTATTAGCTGTTATTACATGATGTACATGGCAGGTCCAGACCTTCTCTCCAGATTGCCCTATCCACATCTTCTGAAATGATTACTTTAGGTTACAACAAACTCCTCACAAATGGCTTTCCCCTGGTGACTGAATCAGTATATTTGGGTACTGGGTTCAAGGATGTGGATTTTTAAACAAGTAACTCTCCCCTGCCTCCTGGTAAATTATTATAGTCAAGTTGATTTGGGAAATAATGCTTTAAAGCAGCCAAAAGCAATTTCATCATACTTGAACATTATTACTTGATTAATGGTATATCTAATGAAAATCAAATTTATCTAGATTTTTTTTTACAAAAAATCTGCATAGCTTATCATCATGCCTAAGCACTTCATACCTAACTGTCACAAGGTTTTAATTCTGCTAACTCCTAAGAGCTGGTGATTTCACCTTTCTGAAACCTACCAGTGCTCATCAGGCTTCTATGCTTTTAGATTTTAGTATTTTCTTACCAGGAAGCAGAAGTGTCATTTTAGCAGTTGTATTAAAAAAACTACATGGTGTGGAATTTATTCAAATAATCATACTACTCACAAAGTAGTCTTTAAACAGCTATACCAATATCAGTTAGTAGAGTTAATTGCAAAATGGTTATCAAATTCCTATTAATTAAAAAAAATCAATTTACACAGTCTTATATCAATTCCATGTACAAAATCTCATTTGCCACATTATGCAACTAGGAAGCAATTATTTAACTGGCTATGTATACATGAAAAAAATGTACAGAGGTTCATTCTAATTGATCAACTACTAACAGATCTCTCTAAATTAAAAAAGAAAAGAAGCAATGGAATGCATTCTCAAATAATATATGGAGCACTGAGAAAAGTTTAAATTCTTAGAGATTTGAAAGAATATTTAATGAGGATTAAAATCATGAACTGCTAGCCACTTCTATGTTCTAATAATGGTATCATAAGCAAGGAAAGAAAACCACAGCCTTATTGAAGCAGGTTAAACAGTTTTTAAGCTGATTATAACTACTAAATTTAAAATGAACTTTTTTTTTTAAGTAGGCTCCATGCCCAACACAGGTCTTGAACTCATGACCCTAAGATCAAAATGCATGCTCTACCAACTGAGCCAGCCAGGTGCCCCAAAACAAACTATTTTTGAACCTGAAGTAAATGATGCAGTATTCAACAGTTTACTAAGAAATAAACATTAACAGTTTTATCATTAGTAAAAACCATTGTTAATACACAAATTAAAAAGGGCTTAATACCAAGTCCTTGGTTCCACATTGCACTTCATATTCCCATCTGTATGTCAGCAAAGTTGTAGAAGCTGTCTACATCTCCAGATGCTGTCTCCTTGCTTTCTGATACAAACATCTATTTTAAATATAAAAGAAGCAAAAAATAAATACCAGTAATCCCCAAATTCCAAAGTGCATGTTGTCTACAGAACAGTCACAAGCTTGCTATCAAAAGAAATTCAAGTACACCATTTATATAATATTTAATCAGTATTCTGTAGAATCCATACAATATAGTTTCAGTAGCTATAATGTAAATTGAGCTCTTTTAAAACCACTTAAGGTCTTTGCTTTCATAATACTTTAGTTGTACTTTATCACACTTGGAATTTTACTGTTTTTTTTAAATATACAAGAGTAAATATTATGAAATCTACTGAATAGAGAGGTTTATTTAAAGAACTCTTAGTTTCTTCTACTTCCTAATAACCTCAATAGGCAAAACTTGATATTGTCATTTTTAAAGTTGCTAAAGATATATTACTAATTTTAAATGAACTATTTGCTAAACATCAGTAAGGCAGTACTCAGTAGAACCCTTCAAAAATCATTTTTACAAATGTCATCTAAGAATTAGACGAGACCCAGGCTCTACTCTAGCTTTATCATAAACTAGCTGTATGATGCTAACAATTCATTCAATAAACCTCTCTGGGCTAACTTTCTACATCTGTAAAATGAGAACACTAGATTAGATAATCTTTGACTCATTCAGATCTAAAATCTCCAAATCATATAACCATCTTCTCTCTGCTTCCTTTTCTATTCAATCTAGTTATATTTAGTACTCCCCTTAGTACTGTTGAAATGATAAAATGACACAAAAGACAAAGTACTTTATGCAAATTTAAGAAACCATAAGCCAAGTCAGACAAAACCAAAAATTTCATCTCAGATATTTATAAAAAATTATTATATATATATGTGTGTGTGTGTGTGTGTGTGTATATACACACTCATTTAGTACTCATGTTTGGTTTCTAAGTTATATAAAGCTATTTAAGTCTGAAATTCTTAGATACACAAACCTCATCAGCATTATCTAGAAACTACCTACATGTAATATGTAATGAGTTCTAGATGCAGCTCAATTTTTTTTAATAGGCTCTATGCCCAGCACACAGCCCAATGTGGGGCTCGAACCGACCACTGTGAGATCAAGACCTGTGCTGAGATCAAGAGTCAGATGCTCAACCAACTGAGCCACCCAGGAGTCCTCAAATTCAATGTCCGATGAAGCATTACTGAAGCAAATAAAAACGAACAGTGGGCAATAGGATCATCTGTCTAAAGTATACAATCTTATATAACATTTTTCAACATATTACTAGTTTTCAAAAATGGAAGAACTTGGACATTTAATGAGATTTTTTACTTTAGAAACATGTATTATTGAAGGTTTTTCAATTAGTAGATTCTTATTTTGTAAAGTTTTAAGGAATTAAAATTTTAATTTGGCAAGGAAAAAACAAAGCTTAGCCCCCCAATTATTTATCATAGATTCTAAAAAATCATGATCTGCTGGGTTTTTTTATTATTCCAAGGAACAACAGGAATAAAAGTACTATTTGATTGTAAGGAAAAGGAAATGACATGAAAGGTCTGATGAAAGAGAAATAATCAATAAAATCTTGTACCTTGGTCCCATTGAATATCTCACTGACAATAAGTTGGCATCCTTCTACAGCTCCATCTCCGTTAAACTCCAAGGCAATAACAGGACCTATAAGCAAACCCAAGAAATGTTGTCTGAACATGAATCCAAATCATCTATCTATCTATCTATCTATCTATCTATCTATCTATCTAAAGCATGGGGGAGGGGCAGAGGGAGAGGGAAAATATTAAGCAGGCTTCACAGCCAGTGCAGAGAATGATGTGGGGCTCGATTTCACAACCCTGAGATCATGACCTGAGCTGAAATCAAGAGTCAGATGTTTAATAGACTGAGCCACCCAGATGCCACCAAATCTATTTTAAAATTTATCTTTTTATTCTTTGCAGTCTAAAGAATCTCCAGCCTCTTCCTTGGGAGGTAAGAGAAAAAGAAGAAGAAAGTAGACAGATGGGACACATCACTTCAGCTACTTCTTCCAACTGTAATCATAAAACAAATTAACACAGTCTCATCATAGGATGGGTAGCTTCAGTGTTATTACAGAACTACAGTCACATTTTTAAGTGTTGTAAATAGTCTGATTTTTCTGGTTTCTATTCTTCTATAAAAACCATAAAAAGTCCATTCATTTAGCAGTACAAAAAATAGTTGATAAGATGACAAATATCAAAACCAATTCAAGTTACCACAAGTAGGTTTTGCCAGGCAGCCAGTCTTTTTTCCAATTCTCCTACTTATCAGCCAAGTTCTGGGCCACCAATAATGAAACTAAGCCAAGTAGGAATTGAAGCCAGGCATCAGAAGTAATGACCATCTGAAAGTAGTTTTCTTGAGTGTGCCTTAAAACTACATTCTAGAACCAAAGGCTAAGTTTTTATTCTCTGAAGAGAATATTTGTGCCTCCTCTCCCATGCATTAATTTGAATACTTTTAAACCACCTGTACTTTAAATTCTGGTATAAAGATTTATTATTAAGTTTGGCTTGAGTTTAAGTACAGCATTGGCACTAATGGTGTCAAATTGTTGGCAAATGTGGCCATAAGCTAGCCAAGCAAAATATGTCCTTCAATTCAATTAATGTTTATTCAGTTATTAGTATATTCCTTAGTATTTGGGTTTTTTTTTATAGATTTGGTTTTTAACTTCTAAAGTAATGGGTATGTCCTAACCTCTAGAAAATTATAAATTTCTTGAAAAAAGACATAAACCGATTAAACAAATATGGAGCAACAGAGACTAAGAAGTACTAAGCAATGAAATACTAAGGTGAATGCAGGCATGTGCCATAGGACAAGATGCAAGAACAAGGGAGATCACACTATACTGGACACCAAAAGAAATGAGGGCTTGTGATTTAATACAAACAACAAATACAGAAAAGGCCTGATATATAACCGTAAACTGTACAATTAGATGTGGAGAACAAAGTATGAGTTTTTCAGCATCACAGTGTATAGATCAAGAAAGGTGCTATATAAAGAAAAGAAGATAACTGGGTACATTTTCTTAGCAAAATACACAGATTTTCTGTCTAGGGCAAGAAATAGATCAGATTAACCTGGAATATCTTGTTGAGCCAAAAAGCAATGAGGCTATCAAAGGCCAATACAGTTGTACCAAAAGGACACAGAAGCTAGACTGAAGGTGCTCCCAATGGCCAAAGATGAGACATTGATACCAGAAGGAATAATGACTGCAATTTATTAAAACATATTGAATATATAAAAAGTCATGAGGTCAATATGATATTTAGAAGAGAGAAACAAAATTCACTGGACACCCCTGTAGGTTGCTAGTGCACCAATTCATTACTCTGAAAATTGATGCTTAATTCTTTCCCCTTTATTCTGCTTTTTTCTTTGTTTTTTTTAAAAGATTTTATTTATTTATTTATTCATGAGACACACACACACACAGAGAAAGAGAGGCAGAGACACAGGCAGAGGAAGAAGCAGGCTCCATGCAGGGAGCCTGATGTGGGACTCGATCCCAGGACTCCAGGATCACGCCCTGAACCAATGTCAGGCGCTAAACTGCTGAGCCACCCAGGGATCCCCTATTCTGCTTTTCTGATATGAAGCATATTTCAAGTTAACCAAACAGCTTTGGTGTACACGGAGAAGTTCTGTTAACATCCATTAATATATGCAGGGGTAGTGACATGCTTATCAGAAAACAATCATTTTGCAACTCCTAATAAAATAATTGGATCCAGGCAATAATCATCAATGGTTTTAAAAGCATCCCAGAGCAGGTTGACAGGAAACTACTATGAAAAGCTAAGGCTGCCATCACCTGAACCTATTGATCAATCAACTAAAAGTTCAACAATCAAGTATTATGTGCCTTCTCATTTAATACTACAGAAAATAGTACCACTTGTGAAATATTCTTGCCAAAAAAGTAACCAAATTTCAGTTTAAGAAGGCTTTCTTTGCTCTAACTTCTGATCTATAAGAACTCTAGAGAAACGAATGAAACAAACCCAATCATACAACAGGACAATGGACCAGGTTTTTTGTTTTTTGCTTTTTTACAAGAGAAAGGCTTGCAACAAAAAGGTGGGGTGGGGGGAGAGGAGGAGACACCTGGTTTTGGTTAAGAGAAATATAAGATAACAAAACAATCACATACAGTGAGTAGACCAATTTTTGATCTGGATCAAATTAACTTTAAAAATACAGAAAGAATGTTTTCAGATTTGGGGAAAATCTGAATATGGACTGAGTATTAGATGATATTAAGGAATTGTTAATCATGATCGATGTGATATTGTGGTTACTTAAGAAAACACCCGTTTTTAATTTGGTTTTAAGATTCACACTGAAATATTTAGGGATGAAATAACAGCACATATCAAAATTCGATTAAAATATTTCAGTAAAAAGGAGATTATAGATTACTTTTGAAGTATGGCAAAAAGTTGATAAAACTGGGGGACAGATACACATAGGGTCAGTGTACTCTACTTTTTCTTTAAGATCTTATTTATTTATTCATGAGGGACAGAGAGAGACAGAGACAGAGAGAGAGAGAGAGAGAGAGAGGCAGAGACACAGGCAGAGGGAGAAGCAGGCTCCATGCATGGAACCCAATGTGGGACTTGAGCCCGGGGCTCCAGGATTGCGCCCTGGGTTGAAGGCGGTGCTAAACCGCTGAGCCACCCAGGCTGCCCAGTGTACTCTACTTTTAAGTAGACATAATACATTTGGAAATTTGCAAAAAAGAGTTTTTTAAAAGCATTTTAAAACAAACAGATATTGAATTAAAAAGAAAAAGTTAATAATTAAAAGTAGGGTTTCCAGTTTTTCAGAGTGGAAAGTTTGAATTAAGACAGAACAGAGCATGCTTTTATTCAGGCCACCACAAAGAAATAGAGTAGATACATTTTTTATTTTTTTATTTTTTATTTTTATTTTTTTATTCTTTAAAAAATTTTATTTATTTGCTCATGAGAGACACAGAGAGAGTGGCAGAGACAAAGCCAGAGGGAGAAGCAGGCTCCTTGCAGGGAGTCCAATGTGGGACTCAATTCCCAGACCAGGATCACACCCCGAGCCAAAGGCAGACACTCAACTGCTAAGCCACCCAGGTGTCCCAGAGTAGATACATTTTTAAAAGTCAAACATTTATTACTGAAAGTTCCTGTATCCTATAAAGAGAACATAACCTAGAATTCAGGAACACAATTTTGCTGAAATTACCCGGGCATGTAACTTGGCTGACAGTTATCTTTTTATATATTTTTTAAAGTAAGCCCTGCACTCAATGTGGAACTTGAACTCAGGACCCTGAGCTGAAGAGTCACATGTTGTACTGACTGAGCCAGCCAGACACCCCAGCTTGGTTGATATAATTTAAATAGAATATGATGAACTTCCAGTAAGTGACCTAATAATTTACCAACAAAGACACACCAACAAAAAAGGTGGACAGGTGCATCAGTTTTGACTAATATGTGTGGATAATCCTAAATTTTAAAAAAAGCCCTACAATGCTGACAATGTACTTTTTAAGCAGTCCTACTTGTCTGATGATGCTGACAATTACTGTGATTATTTCAAGCTGAACTATGAGGTCAATAAAGATCACTGGTTACCTTTTTAAAAAGTATTTTAATGTGAACACCTTATCAAATAGTTTGCAGTAACTCTGGGGCACATGCATCCCAATGTTTATAGCAGCAAAGTCCACAATAGCCAAAATATAGAAAGAACTCAGATGTCCATCAACAGATGAATGGATATATATACACACACAATGGAATATTACTCAGCCATCAAAACAAGTGAAATATTGCCATTTGCAACAATGTGGATAGAACTAGGGGGTATTATGCTAAATGAAATAACTCAGAGAAAGACAAATGCCATATGATTTCACTCATATGTGGAATTTAAGAAACAAAACAGATGAACATAGGAGAAGGAAAGGAAAAATAAGATAAAAACAGAAAGGGAGGCAAACCATAAGAGACTCTTAACTACAGGGAACAAACTTGCTGGAAGTGGGAGATGAGGGGGTGAGGTAATTGGGTGATGGGCATTAAGGAGGGCATGTGATGTAATGAACACTGGGGGTTATATGCAATAGATGAATTACTAAACTCTACCCCTGAAACTAATAATACACTATATGTTAACTAAATTGAATTTAAATTTAAAAAAATTTTAAATATTTGAGCTGTCATGAAAAACTGAGATTTTAAAGTAAAAAATAAAGTTCCTGGATGTCCTAACACCCTCTTCTATGTTATCTAACATGACCTTGGAATAAGTCACTATCATTTCTCAATTAGATTACAGCTATAGCCTCCCAGGTGGTCTCTCTGCTTCCCCCTTACTCAGAGTTACATTTTAAAGTGACCATGACATTACTCTGCTCTAAAACCTCCAGTAAAATATAATCTATATTTATCTTATTTGTAATTGGTCTAAAAATAACTAAGTTTTTCAGATTTTTATTTTCATTGAAGTATAGTTGACGTACAGTATTTTACTAGTTTCAGGTCTACAAAATAGTGATTCAACAATTATATACATTATAAAATGCTCACCAAAATAAGTGTGTTACCATCTGTCACCTTACAAAGTTATTACAATAT